GTGGACTGTGGTTTCTGTCAGTGTGGGAGGAGAAAGTGCTTAGTTATGGCACAGATGTGGCGGTCAAATGTTCTCTCTGTCAACCTTTGCGTGGGTGCGGGGGAAGCTTGTATCCCCCTGCAATGAAGTATACCCTGTAGGACCATGTTACCATGTACCTCACCCCCCCCCCCAAAGGCCGCTGTACTCTCCATACCTAAGTGGACAGTGTCAGTCCCACTAGGGAACTCGAGCATGTGTTTTGTTTGATTAGTTGGCCTCAAGTACAAAAGACCTGACATTGTCCATAGTTCACAGTTTCACAGTCCCCTGGTGTCATCAGTCTACCAAAAGACCCCTCATCTTCTCTTTCTCATGTCTTCCCATTCCTTTCTCTTATGCTCAATGTAAGTCCTTGGACATGTTTGTATTCTAGAAAAATATATAGTATCATAAGACTATTTTATGTAACTAGTATTAGACTATCTATAGAGTTCACTATAACATTGTATATATATATATATATATATATATATATATATAGAGAGAGAGAGAGAGAGAGAGAGAGAGAGAGAGAGCGCTCCTCTTCTTCCTTCCTTCCTTCCTTCCTTCCTTCCTTCCTTTCTTTCTTTCTTTCTTTCTTTCTTTCTTTCTTTCTTTCTTTCTTTTTTTTCACAAGGTTTCTCTGTGTAACAGCTCTGGCTGTCCTAGAACTAGCACTTGTAGACCGGGCTGGCCTCAAACCCACAGAGATCTGCCTGCCTCTGCCTCCCAAGTGCTGAGATTAAAAGCATGCACCACCACCACCCTGCTAAGACAGCTCCTCTTGTAGGCTAGGCTAGCCTGGAACTTGCTTTGTAGCCAAGGATAACCTTGAATTCCTGATCCTCCTTCTGTATATCCTAGTGCTGGAATTACAGAAGCAATCCAACTATCTGAAAGGATGGCTCAGCAGGTAAGAGCACTTGCTGCTCTTGCAGAGGACCTGGATTTTGTTCTCTGCACCCACATCAGGCAACTCACAACCACCTGAAGAGACCGTGTCCTCTCTGGCCTCCTCGGTACTCACATGTATGTGACACACATTTAGATCCACACATATACAAATAAAATAAGTCTTGGAAAAGCTCTAAGAACTAAGAACTGGCAGGAAACTCATTTATTGCTTCCGTCAGCTATGGAGCATCCTCTCCTATGCCGGCTTCCTTACCTCGTCTTCCAGAGAAAGAATTGTTGCCAATTCTTTGTTTTCCCAAGGGAAGCTGTAGTGAATGTCTCTTTCCCTCTTCTCTTATAGACTTGTGCCAAGATCCAAGCGGTTCCCTGGTGGTTGGCTAGGTGTGCTTTACTGTCTCGTAGCACACACTTGAATCACACTTACTCTTGTAAGTTCCACTACCACACCTAGCTCTTATTTTACTATCCTTTAAATCTCTACTACATCTGTAATTAATTCTCCTTTTCATTCTGTATTTTCTTTGTGTCCCCTCTTTCTGTCTGATATTTGTCTGATTTTAGTCCTTTCCAAGAATGGGTTTTTTAATTTGATGTTTCTAAACTATCATGCGACAGTGAGATGTGCTCTTGGGTCAGGTGTACCTGTTTCTTGTTTTGCCGTGTACTAGCTGTGTGACCTTGGACACATTACTTGGACCTATGTATTTCCTTCCTCAATTGTGAAATGGGAATAATGGTCCTTCCCAGTAGAGCAATTGTAAAGAATCAGATTAGAAAAATTACCCAAAATACATGAGTATTTGGGGACTATTTAGTGCATGTTCACACCCATCCTCAGCCTGCACTAGTCAGGGTTCTCCAGAGAAACAGAATCAGTCGTGTGTGTGTGTGTGTGTGTGTGTGTGTGTGTGAACAGTGATGGGAGAAAGGAAAAAAAGGTTGATTTTCTTGGCTTTTGGTGGTATGATTGGATGCTGATGTTAATGATGATAATACCAGGTTGTCATAAACTTTCTGTACATACAAAGATGGCCGTGAACTCCTGCTTCTCTTGCCTCCACCTTCCAAATGCTAGGATTCCAGGTATGCACTGTTATACCTGGCCAGATGAAAGTCTCAAACCTCAGGGTAAACCAGCAAGCTAGAGACCTAGGGGAGAGCTATAGTCCACGTTCAAAAGCATATGGCCTACAGAATTTCTTCTTATTCAGGAGAAGTCAGTCTTTGTCTATGAAGGCTTTTAACTGATTGGAGGAAAGTCAACACACACACCACACACACACAAGAGAGGGGAGTCTGCTTTATTTGAAGCCCAAAATATACCTTCACAGAAACATCCAGAATGGTATTTCACTAAATATCTGGATTCTGAGGCCCAGCCAAGTTAATGTGAAATTAAAAACCATAGTGCCTCAGAGTGTCTTTGCTGGAGCTGTGCCTTTTGTCAGAAATATTCACTTTGTAGGTCCCTCAAAGCAAGGAAGGTGCCAGGCGGTGGTGGCGCACACCTTTAATCCCAGCACTTGGGAGGCAGAGGCAGGCAGATCTCTGTGAGTTTGAGGCCAGCCTGGTCTACAAGAGCTAGTTCCAGGACAGGAACCAAAAAAGCTACAGAGAAACCCTGTCTCGAAAGTTAAAAAAAAAAAAAAAAGCAAGACACAATCCCCCTGTCTCTGCCCAGTGCCCCTGGCCAGGGCACACTCACACATAGCAGCCCAGCCAAGTTCCTTGCTCAGTTCTTACCCTGCCCCGAAAGCACCCTATTCACTGTAAGGCTTGTTTTATTCTTCCCTTTCCTGGCTAAAAGCAGTGCTTGCCTATCTCCGCCGCACATCACATGTCACTTGTATAATTCTTAAGACGTTTATCTCCCTCACCTTACGCCTTAGTTATTTCGTGTAAGTGGCTTATCATCCTGTGGCAATTGTAACTTATCTGTCTTTAGATCCTCACTGTGCCTCTGAGGGACCAGTAATCATCACGTGGATGTTAATGATTGGCAAATGGAAGAGCTAGAAAGCCAGGTGGTGCTGGTGCACAACTTTAATCCCAGCATGTAGGAGGCAGAGGTAGATCTCTGTGAGTTCGAGGCCAGCCTGGTCTACAGAGTGAGTTCCAGGACAGCCAAGGCTACACAAAGAACCCTGTCAAAGAAGAAGGAGGAGGGGGAGGGGAAGGAAGAGGGGGAAAAAGAGGAAGGAGGAAGAAGGAAGAAGAGAAGAACTAGAGAGAGCAATAAGTGATATTGTGGGAAGTGAGGAAGTAGGAGCCCGCAGAGGCTAGACTGTGGTGGAATGGAGTGTGAAGATGGTGATGGTGTCCTAGGTGACAGAGGCTTGCCGAACGTAACACTGCCCAGCACTGCTCTGTGTCAGTGTGTGCCGCTGAGTCCTCCACACACTGAGTTAGGTGCCAGTATTAGCTCTATGTTCCTGCCGAGGCATCCAGGGTGCTGGAGTTGGCTTGGCTGTAGAGTCTGTGTTTTCACCTACTGTTAAGTGAGGACTCACTGTGTACTGTGGCCTTATCTCTAATCCTCGTGGCAAATGATAAAGTACAGGGCATCTCCACTTTGCAGTTGAAGAAGCAGGCTCCCTGAGGTCAAGTATCTTGCCTAAGGTCATATAAGTAGAAAGTGGTGGGTCTACAGTGTTTGGGGCCCACAAGAAAACCCTTCAAGATGCCATGGCGGCTGTCTTGTGCCGGAAAATGGAAGCAGCTCAAATTAGAAAACTGGGTGTTCACAGCTAAACACTTGGCGGAGTCAGGGGAACCCTGCAGAAGATAGGGAGGAAGGACTGTAGGAGCCAAGGGGCCAAGGACACCCCGAGAACATGACCCACGGAATCATGGCTCATAGGGGCTCACAGAGACCAAAGAGACAAACACGGCCCCGTATGGGTCTGAGCTAGGTCCTCTGCATATACCTTATGACCGTGTAGCTTGGTGTTTTTGTGGGACTCCCAGCAATGAGAGGCGGGGTATTTCTGACTCTTTTACCTGCACTTGGGACCCTCTTCTTCCTATTGGGTTGCCTTGTCTAGCCTTGATGTGAGGGCTTGTGCCCAGTCTTGTATCGTCTTAGGCCGTGTTGTTTAATGGATATCCCTGGGAGGCATGCTCTTTTTGCTGGTTTTGTTTTGTTTTGAAACAGTAAAGGAGTGGATCTAGGGAAGAGGGGAGGTGAGGAAAGGACTGGGAGGAGTGGAAGGAGGGGAAACTGCGGTCTGGATGTAATATATGAGAGAAGCATAAATGTTTAAAAAAAAGCAAAACTGGGGGACTGGAAAGATGACTCAGAGGTTAAGAGCACTGGATGCTTTTCCAGAGGTCCTGAGTTCAATTCTCAGTAACCACAAGGCGGCTCACAACCATCTCTAGCAGAATCTGATGTCCTTCTCTGGCATAAAGTTGTACATGCAGATAGAGCACTCATATTCATAAAATAAATAAGTAAGTCTTAAAAAAGAAAAAAAAGCAGAACTGGGTCTTCCCTGGGGTGAAAAGGCCTCTTCTTATAAGGGGACACAGTCAGGACTGATGAGGGCTCCTGAGCACTGCTCTTAATTTGATGATGACATAGGGAAAAGGCTGAGCATCAGAGGTCAGAGGTACCTGGCCAACTCTAGCTCTGTCAGCATCAGCATCAGGGACAGCTGCAGGGAGACAGAGAGTGCAGACCTGCTGCGAGGGTGATGTTCCTACAGATCTGTGGCTGATGGAAATGCACCCTTGCCTTAGTGTCTCCTTACACCTGCCTTTCCATGGGGCAGCAGGGGCAACTCTCTGCAGGTTTCCAGCCCTCTCCTGTTATGGCTTCCGAAAAGTTTTCGAAATTTCCAGAACTGGCTGAAGTACCAGCAGCAGAGCCTGCACCCTCGGACCCTTTGCCTGAATTCAGTGTGCTTTAAAATGTGGGTGCCTGAAGAACCCAAGAGTAGTGTCAGGTAGAGTTTTTGACTCTTGGTCATCAGTTGCCCCTAGGCAAGGTGGACCTCTCTGGGCAGGTTGTCTCAGAACATGTATCAGTCACAACATGTCTCAGCAGCACCTTCTCTGTCCAGGTCATTGCCGTCGTCATGGATCTTTTCACTGATGGGGATATATTTCAAGACATCGTAGATGCTGCCTCTAAGCGCCGGGTCCCTGTATACATCATCCTGGATGAAACAGGAGTGGAGTACTTTTTGGAGATGTGTCAGGGCCTGGAACTTGCTGACTTCCGCATTCGGGTGAGTTGCACCACTGGGACAGGTTGTGGGCCTAAGATGAAATGGGAGACTCCTGCCCTTTCCTCTGGCTCCTCCCACTTCCTCCTCCCAAGCCCAAGGGCTCAGATTGACTTCAAGATCCCAATATTTTTCCTTCTATGTAAAGTCATGACTCAGGAACTTGTAACCGCTTAGTTATATATTTTTAATACTTTCTGTTGTCCTAGAGCTGCTGAGGTGAAGGAGGCAGCTCTCACCCAGTCCTGGGGTGGTCAGTCTGTGGAACCACTGGCTTCACAGTCAGGTTCAGCATAGGGCTGTAGTTCTCTGGTTGGGAACTTTGAGCAAGTACTCTCCTGAACTTTTTGAAAGTAAAACATGTAAGGCTGAAGGAAGCAGAGAATTTTGGAAAGTCTTGGGCAGCAATCAGGATCTGTGAACCTCTCCCCAAGCAAGTCCTTGGTTCAGAGTCTCGAGGCCTCCCCAGACAGGGCAATGGTGTCTTTCTCTTCTCTACAGAATATCCGGGTCCGCTCTGTGACAGGAGTTGGCTTCTACATGCCCATGGGGAAGATCAAGGGGACTCTCTCATCCAGGTTCCTGATGGTGGATGGAGACAAAGTAGCCACTGGATCTTATAGGTATGGTGGACCAGGACAGGGGAGAGCCCAGGAGACCTGTATTCATGGTAATTGGTAATTGTTCAGGGATGTGCTAGCCTGGAGCTTCCACAGTCATGGTTATTGGTTTTTTGGGTTTTTTTAAATGTTTTTTAATGTTTTTTTGTTTTGTTTTGTTTCATTTGGGGGGTATGAGCGCTCTGTCTGCATGTATACCTGCAGGCTAGAAGAGGGCATTGTGGTTGCGGGGAATTGAGCTCAGGACCACTGAAAGAGCAGCCAGTGCTCTTAACCACTGAGCCATCTCTCCAGGCCCAACAATCATGGTTTTGAGAGGCATGGTCTGTCCAGGTCATAAACAGCCTCCTGCTCAGTTCCTTTCCTTAGACTTTCTGTTGACAGATGGAGTATTCCAGAGAGAAGATCAACCCTTCATAGGCATTAAGTGTTGTCTGGTTGTAATGGTCCTCAGCAGCTGGCTGTACCTTGAGGCTGGTTTTTGGATGGAATAAGCAAGAAGTAAAAGGGAGAAGATCTGGGGAAGCAAATTAAAATATTGTCTAATTACTTTTTTACTCCTGTTACAAAAGAACCATGACCAAAGCAACTTATAAAAGAAAGCATTTCATTTGGGGGCTCGTGGTTCCAGAAGGTTCATGACCGTGGTGGTAGAAAGCATGGTGGCAGCAAGCATGGTGCTGGAGCAGTAGCTGAGAGCTCACATCTTATCCCTAGTACAAGGCAAAGAGAAATACCTGGGAATGATATGGGATTAGCCCACCGCTAATCCATGCAAACAGTTCCACCAACTGGCGGCTAAGCATTCAGACACATGAATCTGTGGGGGCCGTTCTCACTCAAACCACCACAGATGTGCTCTCCAGAATTTGAGCTGAAGGCAAGGTACCAGATACATGAGAACCTCCTTTTCCTCTGGAAAAGTGGAAATTTAAGTGAGACTTGAGCAGATGTAGCAATAAATAGGTTATCGGAGTCCTCTTCTGCAGTCAAAGTATGGGTTTTGCAGACCCTGTGCACTCTGGGAAGAATCAGCAGGGGTGGAACAGTGCTAGAAATGGCACAGCTTAGTTCCTACGTATTGTGTGTGTTTGTACTGGGTACTGAGCTGGTTATTTCATTTGAACCTCAAAGCCTTGCATTAAGACCTGCCATCTCCCTATGGAATGTTCTACCTTAGGCCCTGTAAGTGAAGAAGTCTGCCGGGCCTGTAACTGCATTGTATGTACAAGGCACACAGGAAGGGTAGACGTGGATCCAGGTTTGACTTCTCAAGCCCCATGGGAAGGAAAGGGGGAGGAGGGAATTTGACCTGGTTGAAAAGAGAGCAATCCAGTGTGAGGCCACGAGACGTTTTTCGCCAGGCTTCAGGCAGTATGGTCATAGTGACAGAGCAGGTTGAAGCAGGTTGAAGGGTTTAAAGGAGCTACTGGTAGGACACTGGAGAGGTTTGGGCCCATTCATGTCTCTGCTTTCTATCCCCAGCTTTACCTGGAGCTCCTCCTATGTGGACAGGAATCTTCTTTTGCTCCTGACAGGGCAGAACGTGGAGCCCTTTGACGTTGAGTTCCGGGAGCTGTATGCCATCTCTGAGGAGGTAAACTTGTACAAGCACCTGGGTCTAGCAGGCAGGCTTGGCCTCAACTACTCCTCCACTGTAGCTCGAAAACTTATCAACCCCAAGTACTCCTTAGTGGCAAGCAGCCGCCCTCCTCCGGGAGAGATGATGCGCTGGGCGGCGCGACAGCAGCGGGAAACTGATGGCAACGCAGAGGGACAGGAGGGCAGTGGTGGTGGCGAGTCTGCCCGGCGTCTGGAGAGCTTTCTCAATGATCTGGCTACAGTAGAACAGATATTGCCCACAGTGGATTCCATTTCCCCGAGATTGTCGAGAACAAAGGATGGCAGGACGGTCTCTCAGGTGCATGGAGACCTGAGGCACAAATCCCAGAATGGCAAGGGAGAAGCTGCCAATGGAGATGCCATCCCGGCCAAGGAGGGCAGACGCTTCAGCAGGTTCTTCAGCCGACGAGTGAAGAAGTCTGCTGGGCCGAATGTGGAGAACTCCTCCTCCCAAGACATTTTTGCTGATGGGGAATTTCCTCTGGCGAAGAAGCCCAACGAGGGTTCCAACATATCAGGTGAGCTCCTGCTGCTAAACTGGTGACCCTGGGCAAGTCACTGCAGGTCCAAGTTTCAGATTCCTCATCTCTGAGGGATACACGCCTTGCTTGGTGTTTAGCACACTGTAGGCATGGGATCGTCTGTAAGAATTCTCTTACTCCTCCATGGTGTTCAGGTCACCGTTATAGTAACTTGGTGTGTAGCTCAGCACAGGATGGCCTGTGAGGACTCCCTCTCTTCCATGGTGCTCAGGTCACTGCTATAGTAACTCTAATCAAAGAAGGAAGTGTGACAAGTTCTGTTCTGTTTTTTTATTTTATGTGCACTGGTGTTTTGACATGGGTGTCAGGTCTCCTGTGAGCTGCCATGTGGGTGGTGAGAATTGAACCCGGATCCTTTGGAAGAGCAGGCAGTGCTCTTTAACTGCTGAGCCATCTCTCTAGCCCCAAGTTTTCCTTTTATAAATGAACAATGCACAGCACTGGCTGTGAGTCTAGGCCTCCTTCTGGCCATCCTGCTCCTTGCTGTCTTCCAGCGCTCACCTGGTCAAACATACCCCGTCCCACTGTTGCCCTGACCAGCTTACTGGTTTCTATGATAACAATTAGATTGTTTTCCCCATGTCTGTTTGTAGCCAGATTTGCCCTCTCAGAGATCTCCTTGAAGCCCTTTTTTCCCTTTTTTTGAAGTCTTTTTCCTCTTTCTCCAGAGCGGTCTCCGATATGACCTTTCATGAGTCTGGTAGTGACATGGAACAGGCTGCTGTGGGGCCATTCTCATCTCAGCTTCCCTGCCTTGGAAGAACTTCTGTGCTGGGATTTTTCCCTCTGCGGTTGCAGGGCTTTGCAGTGATGAGAACTGAGCTTCCTGGCTGGCTCACTATATGAAAGCCGGTTGTGAAGTATCTGTCCCGAGTAGCACCAGGGCTCCAGGACCCCAGTATCCCATAATCAATGACCTAGGGCAAGGAAATCACCTGATCAGAAGCACTTCGTGTCCTGTTGAACCCAGGGCTGTAGGTCCCTCATAGAACAGGTCTGGGGGGTCTCTGCAGTAAGGCACCAGGAGCACCCCCCTAGCCCTGCTGCCTCCAGTGGGCCCACACTGCTCGAGCAGGCCAGGTTCCATACGGCCACTTTCTTTCCCTTCGTCCTCGTGATGACCCTCATGAGTCCAAGGTGTGGAAAGTGCACTAAGTGACTGTAAGCCTGAGTCAGGGCCAGGCCTGGGCCTTGTCCTGGCAAGGGAGGAGTGGCTGGTCCCCATTCCCACTCCCTTTGGGCTTCCCAGCACCAGATGCTGATGTGCTCTGTGCCTCTTGTTTGGAAGGAGGTTGCCATGGTGAACACCTGGCAGTGAGGAGGAGGGGAATGAGCCCAAGCACAAAGGGACTGTTTCCCAACTCCTGACTGGAAGTGAGGTAGAAGCTTTCTCTTCCTGCCCCTTACCATTAGGTGCTGTTTCCATAGAAACGAAAAGACCATTGTCTTGTCCCTTCCTACTGCCTCTGGTGTCAGATTCCCCTGCTTAGATGACTTGGGCAGTTAGTGTTTGCCACTGCTCCTTATCTCGGAGCATTTGTACACTGCCCTGGAGCCAACAAGCCGACCCATTGTGCCTTTGGGAGTGCCTGCTCCAGAGCACCCAGTCCCTGAGCAGAAGGACTAGGGTAAGAGTGGCTAACACACATAAGAAAGTCTCAACTGTGTCGTCCCCTCCTGCATCCTGGGGAAGAACGTAGAGGTAGCACAAACAGACACACACACACACACACACCCTGCCACCCCATCAAGGCCCTGAAATCCTAGCTCTCTACTGAGACCTCTGGCCCCTGATTCTTTCTTGCTCAAAGGCAGAGCTGAGAAGCCGAGTTTTTTCTCCCAAAGACCCTTCTACACCTACACCTCTCAAGACCTAGGCTCAGGGACCTCTGATACCTTCCCTCAAGGTGGCAGCCACTGAGCTGCTGACTGTACACCTAACAATGCATCTTGGGCCCCCACCCTGGGCCAGCTGGAGCTTGCGATGGGCTGGAACCACTTCAGCTTTCTCCTCAGAGAAGGAACCCATCCAGGGAAGGAATCCCCTTCCCACAGGGAGCACTCATGTTGTAACAGACAGTGGTGGCATGATCTTAGCTCCTGACACATTGCCCTTCCCTCTCCAGGGCTGTCTCCTCTTCTAGAGGAGGAGGGGTAAACTAGAGAGGGCTTCTGAGGTCCCTTTGAGTTGATGCTGATTGTCCTATCTGTCTCTGCTCCGTCTTGTCAGAGAGAACGTGGGTGGATGACAGGGTGGGTGAGAGAGAGGAAGATAGGAAAAGCCGAGAGCTGACAGCCTGTAAAATTGCTTGATAAGAAGTATATAGTTGTCAAACAGCATGCAAAGTTTTGCAAACCCAGGTGTGGCCCTGGGGAGAATCTCACAGAATCGCCTCCTCTGGGGCTAGGGTGGGAGGGTGCACAATGGAATCAGCCTGGCAGTTTGAAGACCCAGAGCCCCCTCTAGTGGCTGGAGCTGGGTGTCCTTTGCCTTTTTTTTTTTTTTTTTTTTTTTTTTTTTCTAACTAAACCGAATCCGCACTGGGTTATGAGCTCCTGCCTTCCGGCCACTTGCCACCTGAGCCCATCTAGGTCCTGTGGGCAGGCTCTCTGGGAGCAGAGATGTTCCAGTCTCAGGAGAGCGCAGCTGGGGGTCGTTGTTTAAAATCCTGTGAATAGAGTCTGCGCTACTGGGCTGGGCTCAGAAATCTGCATTTTTTAAAAAACCACTATGAAACAGGATTTAGTGAACTAAATGTATCATTCTCTGGATGGCATTCACCATATTGGTAAAGACTAAGGAACTGATGACGTTCAGCAAAATGTGGAATGCTAGTGGTGCTGACAGTAAAAAAACAGCTCTGGAAACGAGAGCTTTTATCACAGCTGTTGCCATGAAGATCCATTTCATCTTTTAACCAATCCCCACTGCCAAGAATTTAAAATTAAACACTAAATTAAATCAGAAGCATAACATAGGAATGCCAGTATCAAAGAAATTCATGTAACAAAACAGTGGATTTCAGAGTCTCCAACACATGAGCACACTCTTGGGAGGTTAGAATATGGTGGCAGCAGCGGCGCAGTGGAAGAAGAGCTACCTCTCCCTGTTGGCTTCATACGACACATGGTAACCGATGCACTCGCGGGTCATGAAGCACTGAATGTAGATAACTGTATTTTGAACAGGAGCATTGATTTTCCCACAAAGCTCTCCAGTGCAGAGGTGTCTCCAGCACCTCTGCAGTTAGTTAACAGGAGACTCAGGCAAAGCCCTGCCTTTGGGGAGTCACTAGCCTAGAGGAGACATGCTTGGACAATGGACAATGGTTTTCAAGTGTTGAAGAGGACATGGAGTGAAATGCTGTCACTCAGAACTCAGAAGGTTTTTGCAAGTGTTTGCCTGATGGTGGCAACCCACCTACAAGATCCTTGAACTCCAGAAGGGCCAAACCCCATGTCCACAGACAGGCTGGGAAGAAAGGGGGCAGCAGGGTCTCTTCCTCCCAGGGCCGTGTCAAAGCGGCTGCAGCTGCCTCTAAAGGTTAGCGCTGGTATCATTTCCTGCTTCTGTGGAGACGGAAAGGCCTGTGATGCCGTCTCGGATTTTAGACCTGTGGCTGCAAGGCTCCTGAATACAGGGACTTCAGGCTCCTTTATGTTGCCTATGGGGCAGATGATCTTGGCTGGCTTACCTGGAAATCTGAGTCCTCACCGGGGGTGGACTAGTGGGGAATTGCTCTCAGGCTGTGGACCTGTGGCCTGCTCTTGCGACTATCAAGTGTTGCTCCTGAGGAGCATGGGTCAGGCCCCAGCTGGTGTGTGGACTCTGTAGTCAGATGTGATTATCCTGGATCCTGGGACCAACAGGGGGTTCTGGTCACATGGATGAGGTAAGCTACTCTTCTTCAAAGATTAGGCAGCTATACAGTTCATATATGTATAACTGATTTCATTTTGTGGGTATGGCTGTTTGTCTGTGTGTATAGATGCATGTGTGCGTGGCGCTTGCGTGGGTCAAAGCGGGGCACTGGATCCTCTGGAACTGGATTTACAGATGTTTGTGACCCCTCATGTGGTGCTGAGAACCGAACTCAGGTTCTCTGAGAGAACAAATGTTTTTAGCTCCCCAGTCAGCTCTCTAACTGGGTTGTGCTGTTCTTAGAAGACCAAACAATTTGTCTGTCTTCCCAGTTCCTCCGAGGCTGTCTGGGCCTCTGGTTTCTCTCTCAGAATGGTACTAGGTGAGCGTGCATCACCCAGTATTGTCTGTATTGCTCTGAGCTCCAAAGAGCTAACCGTTGTCTGCTTACTTGTTTTGTCCAATAAGAATATGGTATTGAAATGTTGGCTCTTTGGGGCACCGTCCTAAATTAATCAGGGAATGGAATGAACGAAAGCCCTTTCTTGTGGCACCCATTACCCTGGAGACGGTTGAGGGCGGGAGTATCGTGACTGTGTAATACAGGGTGAATGGAGGAGGCCTCATTGATTGAGGAGCACTGGAGCAAAACTTCAAATGGACACATGGATGTCGGAGAAAGAATGTTCCAGACAAAAAGAATGTGGAGCCCTAACAGCAACAGGAAGAGGGGGTTTGCTGTCATCGCAGTCCTGTTGTGACTTTCCCCTTCTCTTGAAGCACCTTGCCTCCTCTCCGCTGTGCCACCTGCCCAGGCTGTCACATTCCAGTCCCTCCATTGCGCCACTCTTCTGCATGCCATGACCCGTTCCTACCGCTCTTCGTTCCTGTTCCGGTCTTCAGGGCTAATCCTCTTTGCAGGTGGCTTTCTCACATAAGTCTTCTTTGGGCCACTCACTTCCCTGCCACACATACTTCATAAAAAGAAATTGGGTGTTTGGTGTAATTCTTCCACATTGATCTGAGTGGGTCCAAGGCATCTGCCTTTGGCAGTTTTCTGGTGAATGAGCATGGAAGGAAGGATGGAACACTAAGAATTTCCCTTTAAGCCTGTTTCTCCGTCAGAGTCCTAGAAATTAATCCTGAAGACAAGGAGTAGCTCCAGTCTGGCATCCAGCCCTACAAATGGAAGGGTCAGGGCCTGCTAAAGACTGCCTTCTCTGGGAAGAACCTGGCAGGCACAGGCTCGGGGTGCTCCCATACTCCTGCCCTGCTTCTGAATCCAGAGGTTGATTTTACTTACCTGCCCTCAAGTGCTGCTGTCTCTGGGGAGGCACTGGGTATGCACTTAGCAGGCCAAGGAAACAGAAAAGGCCGCTGAGGAGAGCAAGTGGGAGCCATGCATCCATTCTTGCTACAGCAGCGAGGCGTGGTAGAATTTAATGACCTTCACAGAGCCACACCAGACACAGCCCTCGGCACCACCAAGAAGGCCACTGGTTTCCTGTTCTACCTTGTTCTAGGCATACCCAGGAAGGGCTCAGCTGGCTTTGCAGTAAGTCCTGAGGAGTGAGTTCATTGTAGCCCCAGTGAGGCAGTGACTAGTAGACCAGGGATAGTGTGCCTGGGCAGTGTGGCCTTCGACAGGCATGGGGACTCACAGAGGGGCTGATGCATCGCAGTTCCGGGTCTAGCCCTGCCCAGGGCCTCTCTGCTACTATAACGCACAAGACACAGTTGTTACCTTAATTAAGTTCACAGCCGAAGTGATAGGGATGGTGGTGTGAGCACCGGGGAAATTGTCTTTGCTGTCTAAGGGGAGTGGGCAGGAAGTAACACAGTGCTTTCCACCTGGGAGAAAGCAGCCGGCCGGCATTCTGAAGATGTGGACTCTACCTTCAACTGTCCAGTGCTCCAGGGCCAGTCAGAGGTGTCAGGCCGGCCTCACAGCTCCCCTTCCCCCAGAGTCTAGAGCAGGATTCTGTCGTGAAAATGGTTGGCACCTTTTCCTGGAATTGTGAAGGAGGTAGAAGTAGTTGTAGAGGCCCGGGAGAGGAGGAAGGGGCAGCCTAGAGAAAGGCAGCCTTTGCAACCCAGGACTGTGCTGCTCCATCCTCTGCCTTGGCCGCCCCCCCAGCATGTGACCACACTGCCCACCAGGGCAGCTGGCCCTCCCCTGGCATAGCTTTCCTTCTCTAACTCAGCTACCTGAGTGGCAGAAGGAGATGACACTGGACAGGAAGGCCAGGGGCTGGCACTGTCACTGACCACTTCAGGGTCAGGACTACCGCTTCAGCTCTCAGTAAGGCAAGTGGTTCCGGCTCTCATCATTGCTGCCCATGCCCTCTAGGATCCCTGCATGTGCCCTTGGTTTCATTTTGAGAGTCTGAAGCTGCCTACAGCATTCAGCTGCTAGTGATAGGACTCCTTAAGTCATGCTGGCTGACTCCAGAGTCCCTGTCATCATTGGTCAGAAGACACAGACCACTTAATGTCTCCAGTCACAGGAATCCTCCAGTTGTGGCAAGGCTGTTGAAACAGAGAGTACCTTTGCTTTCCTGGGTGCCTTGTTGACCTGAACCAGCAGCTTGGCAGAGAGGCTTTAGTCCTTGGCTCCCAGCTTGCTTATTGGGGTGGCTCAAGGTTGGCTTGTGGCAAACTCACTGAACTTGTTACTTATGCCTTCCACATCTGTGTCCTATCTCCACAGGTAAAGTGACTCCCAGGATGACCAAGCCCAACAACTGTGTGGTGGCCTGAGCTGCAGGGTAGTGGTGGGTGGAACCTGCAGATGCCCACCCATCCTGTCCTATGCTGGGGAGAGCATGGCCTATACCCTGCATTGGTTCACACATCAGAACCTAACCAGGTCTCCTACCCTGCAGTCTCTACCCTGGTCTTAAGATCTGAATCCCAGATGGCAGGATCTCAACCATCACCATCTCCAGCAGACTGCTATGGCCGGAAAAGGAACACTGCTACCTTGTTTATATGAAGTAGAAGCCTGGCTAGCATCTGTTCTCCTTTATGCCAACCTCCCCTCCACTGGGCCAGCCTTGCCCTACAGGTCCCCTGGTAGGACAACTGCCATTCTTCCTACCTTGGAGGACAGGTTGACCAAGGCAGCCCCAGGCACTTGGCTTTTTCTTGGACTTCTGGTGCTGTCCAGTTCCCCATACCCCAGAGGTTGGCGGGAAAAGGGACGAAGACGGGACTCAGAGCCAGTTTTGCTCTAGCCGTGTTCCCGATGCAGCTGGAATAGTGGGTACATTGGCTATTGCGGCCTTAGGGACACCTATTCCGGCTGGCATCTGAACTAGTCTCTGGGTGGAATGGGCTGGGGATGGTGCTACTTTGGCCTCCTTTGGTAGTGGCAGGATCTGACGGTGGTGAAGAGCCCCTTCCCTCCTGCACTGCCATAGCCAGCCTGGCCTGAGTGCCCTGGGCCTCCCTGGCTGGTGCTGTGGAAAGCTGGGGCTCCACAGAGCGCCTTTCCCCATGCCTGCGCCTTTCAGTAGGCTTTCGTTTACAGGCCCTGTGAAGGATGGGGGTGCAGGGGAGGAGGCTGGGCCCAGGAGACAAGAGCATTTGTGT